GAAAATAGGGCTGCAGATTTGTTCAGACAGGGTCCTCCTTTCATTTGAGAGGTGAGCTTTCCATCAGGACTCATTCTATCTCTAATCTTATGTATATGCCAGGGAGATATCAACCATCTGTATCCCAGTGCTCTTCTTGCCTTATCTCACCGTACCTTCACGTCAGTTCTATGAGGTTTGCACTCTCACCCTCATTTTACAGACAAGGCAAGGCCCAGAGATGGTAAGTAACTTGCCTGAGGCTGCCCAGCTCATAAAGAGATGGGCGAGAGAGACCATCTCTCCCCTAAAAGGTGGGCACTAGGGGTGGAGCCGGGGATTGCCCCCATCCATGTGACCCCCCAAGCCCATACTCACAGCCACTGGCTCTGACACTTACAAGCTCTCTATCGGAGATCTTTACACTCCTGACAGAATTCTGTTCTTCCCCCTCACCACTCCCCTCCCCCTCCCGTTCTGCTCCCACTATCTGTAGTCAACATATGCCTCAAAAAGGCGACAAAGCCACAGCCATTCTCAGAGGTTTTAAGAAACGTAGTATTATTATGCAAGAGCTGAGAGAATCGTTGCTAGAAACACCCCTTACCTTACTCAGTCCTGGCACATTTGGAAAACCATCCTAAGACATGAATCTGAGTGCCTTTGGGCACCAAAGACCTTGAATGGTTCTACTCCATCTCCTGCCTCTGGGAAGGAGGCCTCGTAAATACTAGCTGAGCCTTGGAAGGGCCTCTCCTGAGATGGAGATGTGCACTTCCCTTGCTCTGGCCGCGGGTCTGGAATAACCTCTCCACAGGCAGAGGCCCAAAGCAGGTGTGCACAACTCCAGGGGCACTGCAGGCAGAGAGCACAGCATGCCTCGGTCCCTGGAGCTGCTGCAGTTGGCCCCCTTCCTCCCCAACTGGCTCCAGCCCTCAGCACCCCACTGCCCAGCCTGGCTACCCTTCCAGGGCCTTACACTGGCTCAGGGCTGCCTGCTCCAAGCCTTGTGGCATTTTAAGCCCAAACTTGAGCTGACTGATGGCTGGACAGTGGGCAGCCCACGTGTCTGGAGTTCTTCCCGGGAGAAGCCCCAAGCACAGCCCAGTAAATCAATAAGCAAATTAATAAGCAAATACTGCTGTCTGCTGAGCCGAACTGGGACATCCGGGTAAACAGATTTCAAATCAACAACAGACGGCCAAAGGGCCAAAAGCAGGACACGGCACAGGACGTGCTGTGAGAGTCCCGTGTCAACAGCGTGGAGAGACACTAACCAGCAGAGGCTAAGAGGAAGGCCCTGGAACCAGGCCATCCGGGTTTGAATCCCAACTCTGTCTCTTCTGTCCTGTATGACCTTGACAAGTCACTTGACCTTTCCAGGCCTCAGTTTCCCCACCTGTAAGGCAGAGATGACTAATATGGGTATCCCTCCAGAGGGAGTTAGACTTAACACAGAGCTTCATATCAGCATAGAAGCTCCTGGGATGTAAGCTGAGGAGGGTGCAGACTTTTGTCTTTTTTCCCCACTTCTCTAGCCTGGCACCTAGAGTAACACCCAGCACACAGGAGGTGGCACCAAGTATGTGCGAATGAGGGAGTGGGGGAGGGAGGACTCACACTGCCACATGCCCACACTGACGGGGAAGGCACCCAGGACCGTCTATACGAGTCTGTCCTTCCACAAACTGAGCACTTGCTAGGCGCCAGGCAATGTGCTATTGGGTGGCAGGGACACAACCCAGAGATGGAGGAGGCAAGGGCCCTGTGGCAGAGACTGGGTCATTCCATACCCTCTTCTTCCCTAGTCCTGGGACTTTGGGCCGGTCACATGGCCAAACAAAATAAAGTCAACATTTCCCAGCCTCCTAGACATAGCCATGGAACTAAATTCTGACCAAGTAAGTATAAAGGGAAATATCAAATGATACCTTCTGGAACCCTCCTTTGGAGATAGCTGGTACTTAACTCTCCCCCTGGCTAACTCAAAAGTGGGTGTAAGAATGACTGGACTTGGAGCCCCATGTTAGGCTGTGAGGGGGCCCCAGTCATGGAAGCCGTGGGTCCCCAGAGGCCAAAGAAGCAGAGATACCATATCAGCTCTAGACTCCAGACTTTCAAAAGAGAAAGAAATAAAACTTCTCAATTGTGTGAACCAGTATTTGGGGGGTTATTATTATCTGCAGCACATCTCAGTCCTAGCTGATCCTGCTGACCCCTGCTGGAAGCTCACGGTCAGCTGGGGGGCCACGGGAGGAAACAGACCATCTCTGCCCTGTGTGGCAGTCACAGGTTTGCACGGAGTCCCACGGGAGAGCCCAGAGGAAGGGGGACCACAGCCCCGCTGGGAGGGGAAGGTGGGGACAGGGGCTCTGAGGAGGCTTCCTGGAGGCAGTGGCACCTACGGCTGAGTCCCACAGAATGAGGACCGGTTTTTAAGATGGTGGGAGGTGGGGGAGGGCCCACGCCCTATAACTGAGACATTTTGAAAGTTTGGGAAGCTCCAGGGAGAGAGGGAGAGAGAGAAATGTTGTCTTGAGTGACCAAGAAAGATTTTCCAGAGTGAGTGGAGCCAGGATCTGATGAGAAGGACTTTGACAGGCCAAGGTGGGTAGGAAGGGCATTCCTGGCTGAGGAACAGCAAGTGCAAAGGCAAAGAGGTCATGGCCGAATGGCAGGGAGAGTCTGCTGTGGTCTGAGCACAGGGATGGGGTAGGAATAAGAGAAGATGAGTTACAGTGTTTGAACCCTGTGTGGAATAGGACGTGGAAGTTGTGCACAGGTGTCTGCAGTGTATAACATGTATTAACTCGCTTAAGCTTACAACACGCCTATGAGGCCAGCACTCCTAGAATCCCTCTTTGCAGATGCAGAAGCCAGGCACAGGAGATTAGACCCCTTGCTCCAGGCTGCACAGCTGTGAACAGGGCACTGAGATTGGAGTCTGGGCAGTTATACTCCCCAGGCTGCATACCCCCCCAAGACCCTCTGCACTCTCCTGGGGCCCTGGGCTTCACAGAGGGGCCTCGGCCCCTTTCCTCTACCTGCCCCAACACCTGGCATCCTCTGTGGGCACATCCTGGTGCCAGTCTGGCTTACAGCAATACCGGGAGATTGTGATCTTGGTGCTGAAGGGAAAGGGAAGAGAAGGGGCCCCAGGGAGGCCAAGGAAGTTCAGAGCCACCCAGGAGAAAGGTACGTCTGAAAATAGGGCTGCAGATTTGTTCAGACAGGGTCCTCCTTTCATTTGAGAGGTGAGCTTTCCATCAGGACTCATTCTATCTCTAATCTTATGTATATGCCAGGGAGATATCAACCATCTGTATCCCAGTGCTCTTCTTGCCTTATCTCACCGTACCTTCACGTCAGTTCTATGAGGTTTGCACTCTCACCCTCATTTTACAGACAAGGCAAGGCCCAGAGATGGTAAGTAACTTGCCTGAGGCTGCCCAGCTCATAAAGAGATGGGCGAGAGAGACCATCTCTCCCCTAAAAGGTGGGCACTAGGGGTGGAGCCGGGGATTGCCCCCATCCATGTGACCCCCCAAGCCCATACTCACAGCCACTGGCTCTGACACTTACAAGCTCTCTATCGGAGATCTTTACACTCCTGACAGAATTCTGTTCTTCCCCCTCACCACTCCCCTCCCCCTCCCGTTCTGCTCCCACTATCTGTAGTCAACATATGCCTCAAAAAGGCGACAAAGCCACAGCCATTCTCAGAGGTTTTAAGAAACGTAGTATTATTATGCAAGAGCTGAGAGAATCGTTGCTAGAAACACCCCTTACCTTACTCAGTCCTGGCACGTTTGGAAAACCATCCTAAGACATGAATCTGAGTGCCTTTGGGCACCAAAGACCTTGAATGGTTCTACTCCATCTCCTGCCTCTGGGAAGGAGGCCTCGTAAATACTAGCTGAGCCTTGGAAGGGCCTCTCCTGAGATGGAGATGTGCACTTCCCTTGCTCTGGCCGCGGGTCTGGAATAACCTCTCCACAGGCAGAGGCCCAAAGCAGGTGTGCACAACTCCAGGGGCACTGCAGGCAGAGAGCACAGCATGCCTCGGTCCCTGGAGCTGCTGCAGTTGGCCCCCTTCCTCCCCAACTGGCTCCAGCCCTCAGCACCCCACTGCCCAGCCTGGCTACCCTTCCAGGGCCTTACACTGGCTCAGGGCTGCCTGCTCCAAGCCTTGTGGCATTTTAAGCCCAAACTTGAGCTGACTGATGGCTGGACGGTGGGCAGCCCACGTGTCTGGAGTTCTTCCCGGGAGAAGCCCCAAGCACAGCCCAGTAAATCAATAAGCAAATTAATAAGCAAATACTGCTGTCTGCTGAGCCGAACTGGGACATCCGGGTAAACAGATTTCAAACCAACAACAGACGGCCACAGGGCATGCCGGGAACCAGGGCACCATTTCTGGGTGGAATTTCCAAAGAGCCCACCTCTCTGTGGCTCCCAAGAGTGGAAACAAGGTTGGGAGCAGGGGAGTGGGGAGCAGCAGGGGGACCGAGGCTGATGTCCAGGGTAACAACTTTCCACCCTGAGCTTCATCTCTCATACTCACTTACTCTAGGCCACCGTTCCTGCTGAGAGCAGGGCTCAGTGCACAGCTAGCAAGAGCTTTATCTGGGTACCACAGATGATGATGTGGGTGACAAAGGAGTCCCGCATGGCACAAGGCACCAGTTAAGGGAGGTGGCCCCTCATTGCTAACTTGCAGCTACCTGGCTTCTATTCACTCCTCAGTGGGGCTGCAAAGGGGAGAGGGCCTGGCAGGTAGAGGGAGGCCAGGTGGATGCAGGTGCCTGGGGGAGGGAACTGACCAGAGTGGATGTCACCCGTATCATGCCATTTGTGAGCAAGTAGGAAGTGGGTCCTCTGGGCCTGGGGAAGCCCTGACTCCAGCTCTGGGCAGCCCGCACACGGTCCTCCAAGCAGGGAGGGGGCTCACCCCCCGCAGTCCGCAGGGGTCAGGGTCAGGATGCAAACAGAAATGTCTGGACAGCTGAAAATAGACTCACCCGGACCTCAGGAGAATCTCCAGCCAGAATGCCTGAGGCGCCCTTTTCTGAAAAGGCTTCCTGAATGCCCACATCTTCTCTTTTGTGCTCACAAATGCCACCCAATCACAGCAAGGCCACTGAAGCTGAATAATAAGGCAGAGAGAGTGTCTGCCTGGGGCACTGGCCTCTGGGCTGTCTGCCAGGGCTGTCAGGCCGCCCAGACTTCAATACCAGCAGAGTTAAGGGACAAGAAAACAGCTGCAGCAAGGGCTTGGAAGACGGGGAGGGAAATGACCTGTCTTGTGAGGCAACAGAGTCAGTCTGCCCAGGGCCTTCTGACGTGAGGCTGTCGCGAGGCATCTCATCCCCACCAGGTGGGCACCAACAGTGCCTGCAGCTCGGTGGCCTTAGAAGCACCGCCCTGTCTGGAAGCCCATGGCTTGTGCTGTAATGAGCCTGTGTCCCCCATTTCTTTTGTGGCCACTGAGGAGGGGGGTTCTTATCAAGCCACTACAATCCCAGCTCTCCTCAGAAAGGAGGGAAGATGCCAGCCCCAGACACCCTGGTTCACTTGGAGAATTCTGACCATGAAATACAAGTGCTGAGAAATTTTGATGACCTATCGTTGGCCCACGGAACAATGTCAAAACACATCCACATCCCAACATCCCTTCACTGATTCAAACAATCCCGGGGTGCCTGTTCTTTCTAAGCACTTTAGGAGAAGGTGTCCAGGTGGTGACAGTGAGAAAGCAGATGCGGTTCCTACCCTTCCTGAGCTTGAAGTGAGGAGGGGAGCCCAGCTCTCAGATTCAAAGGGTGAGCTGGGGTGGACAGGACACTCTAGAGTGAGCGTAGGTTTCAGCTGAGTCTGGGAAGCCAGCGGGCATCGGGTGGGCTGGGGCAGGAGGGCACTGCAGAGGCTGGGGAGGGGGCTGCCAAAAGGCAGAGGCCAGAAACTGCCAGTCAGCCCTTGGGCTGCTCAGTAACTGCCACACTCCTGCCAAGCTAGCCAAGGCCTGGGCCCTGGTCCTACCCCAGTCCCCTACAGCAAGAGAATGGGGTTTGGAGAAAATGAGAAAAAAAGTAATCTGCTTTGTAGGCACAGGCCCAAGACTGCTTCCTTCCTGTCCCCAGGGAAGCCAAGAGAAGCTGCACAGATGTAGGTCAAAGCACAGACCTTGGGGCCTGATCCTAGCTCTACCTCTTAAGAGCTGTATGGCCTTGAGTGAGTCACTTCCCCTCTCTGTGCCTCAGCTTCCTCATTGATAAAAGGAAGATGAAATTATACCAATGTCCATAGGGCTGTGGCAGGGATTAAATGAGTTAATGCCCATGAGTGCCCAGAGCAGCTCCCAGCATGCAGCCAGAGCTACATGAGTGTGGCTACGCTTACTGTGAGAGAACAAGGCGGCTAGGCCTCCTCCAGGAGGAAGGTGCCCTGGGCCAGGCCATTTCTGCAGCGTGAGGAGAGAAGAATGGGAAAGAAGGGCCTGGAGTGAAGGTGGTCCAGGTTCCTGGAGGAACAGTGGAAGAAAAATGGGAATCCAAGGGTCCAGACTGTGTGTGTGTGTGTGTGTGTGTGTTACATATGGTCAAATGTACTAATCTTGAGTGTACAGCTTGATTAGTTTTTACATATGTGCACACTCATATAATCACCACACAGGTCAATATAGTATTTCCATCCCCCCAAAATGTTCCTTCAGGGACATTAGCCTGTAACACAGTCTCCATCAAAGTAGGAAGCCACACCCAAAGGGGGCAAGAAGTAATCTATCAGGGTGCCACCTCTATCTATTAGAGCTCATCCCTGTCAATTTCCCTCTTTGTGTGTACCTTATACTGTACATAATATATTAGCACAGTTGTGCATGTTTAGAATTTATTAATAAATACACATTCATTTGCTGGGAAGATGAGCTGAGTATCTCCCCCCAGCCCCACCCACCCACACTGAGGCTCAGGCCCTGGGGTTTCAGGAAGGCTTTGGCAAAGGGGAAGGCTGGGGGAAGGAAAGGGCAGGTGTCTGCGTCCCTTACTGGGAAGTTCCTCACAGGTCGGCTGTCTCCCTGCACATTTTGGGAACCACTCCCTCCGCTCCCCTGCGGCCCGAGGAGTGGGGACAGTGCCATTCAGTGTGCTGTCTCTTGAGGGTCCTCTACCCGCACCCATACAGAGAGCCCTTTGTAAATGAGCCTCCCTGGGTTACACTAATTTAAATGTGACATCTGTTTCCTGCTGGGATACTGATACACAGGCACATACTGGAAAATGGGTCACCCACAGGAGTGTGTCATGAAAATATTTGGAGATCACCGTTTGTTGCACAGGATGATGCCTGAAATCTGGACCCGTGGAGGTAGGCCTCCTCTTCCTGTGGGGATGGGAAGGCAGCAGTTTCCAGCGTTTGCTCTCCCCTCGGAACTTGGAAGCAGCCAGCTTCCAGTTAGTCTGCTTTACAGATGGACTGAGCCCCACCCTGTGGCCCACCACAGGCTCCTGCCTTGGGCGGGGAGGTTGGGGGGGGACCAGGCCAGGGCGCTGCTCACCCAGGCCGCTCTTGGTCCCCTTTTCCTGTTGGGGATTCAGCTCCTTCTCCAGGGGCCAGTTTTCTATTCCTCTTGGATCCTGGGAGCAATGAGAGGACAGTTTCACCCCATAACATGAGGAGAGTTCAATGAAGAGTTTGTTTACAAAGGTGTAGATGGGGTTCAGGGAAACCGAGGGCGGTGCTGCAGCACCCCAGGCTAGCAAAAGTGGGGAGTAGCCAGAGAGAGGAGCAGTGCGGAGAGGGCTGCCTGAAGCGAACCGCGGGGCAATAAACTCCCCAGTCTCCTTCCCTTCCTCAGAACCCCACCGGAAGCCAGAGGGCACAGGAGCCCGTAGGTCCCGCAGCCTGCCCGGCCAGGCCAGGAGGCAGGGGGCTGAAAGGGGTGGCGTCCACCTTGAGGGACCAGGGCAAGGTTTCCCGCAGAGTAGTGGGAATGGCCTCTTCCTAGGAAGGCCTCTAACCCCACAGCCCGCTCCACACAACCCACCTTCAGGGAGTGAGAGGGCCTCCCCCAAGAAATCTGCAGAGGCTGGGGGATGAGATGGCGGGATGGGAGAGCCGGGGAGCAGATGTTGGAGGACAGGTCTGAGCTGCGCCCCAGACAGAGATGGGCCGACTCCAAGCCTGAGCCTGCTCCAGCCCACAGGGAATCCAGGCAGGAGGAGGGAAGAGGGCTTGCTGTCTCCGCTTCCTCACAGCCCCAAGGACAGGTGGTGGGGCTTAGGGACACCTCCAGCCTGCCCTTTAGGAAGAGCTCCCTGAACCTTTGCTCACTCAGAATGCAGGGATCAAGCTCTCCTTCCTCTCCAGAGCAGGGGCTTCTGAGCAAGTGGAAAAGGGAGGGAGTCCTCTCGCCCTCTTCCCCGGGAACCTCAGCCTGGCTCCGCATCTGTCTACCTGTGTATCCCTAAGCAGGCTCCTGTACTTCTCTGGGCCATGGTGTCCTCATCTGGAAAGTGGCAATAATAGCACCTCTTCCAGGGAGCCTTGGGGGGGTAAACGGGACAGCATACATTATGCTCTTCAGCAGCAAAGAGAGATGGTGGGCAAGTGCCATTTTATGGAATACCCCAAAGAAACACTCATCTCTAATTGTGTCTTGCTGAAATAGGAGAACCTTTCCCTCTGCTAAGGGCTTACTGAGCATCTGCCCGGGCTTTCTACCTTGTGGGCTGCACTGAAGCACCGAGGGATGGAGGCTGGCACTTGGGCTGGAAAACAAACACAGACATGGAAAGGTGAGAACTCTGGGAGGGGACCAGGATGGTTTCAGTGTGTTGTTACTCCCAGAGGGGACATGGGACCAGGGGAGGCAGGGAGTGTGGCTAAGCGGCGCTGGGGAAGTCAGAATGCAGGGCGAGAAGAATCACCCAGATGGAACCTGAACATCACTGGGAAGGGCATCAGGGCAGGGAGCCCTCTGTGACCAGGGTGGGCTGGTGGGGGGACCGGATACTGGTCCCGGACACCACGTGTCCGGACAGCCACAGACAAACAGACCCAACCCTAAAGAAGCCCCTCCAAGCTCTTGCCCCTCTTGCAGACCAAAACCCCATCCCTGGGTCAGCCCAGCCATCTGCTCTCATTCTCCAGGCTGCTGATGTCAGCAAGAGAAAATGATGCCAGCTTGTCCGTCCTGGAGTCCCTGCAAATAAATTCATTCATTCAACAAGTATTTACTGATCATCTATTTATGTCCAGTATTGCAGGCCCTGAGGGATATATCATTGAATGAAATGGATCTACATTCTAGGGCAGAGAGACAAGAAACAAAATAAGTAAGCAAAATACATAGTAGGTGCTATGGAGGAAAAGGCAGGCAAATAAGGGGACTTGGGAGGGGGTTCAACTTAAAGAAAGGAGCCAAAGAGGATGTCATCAACGATGAGTAAAGACTTGAAGGTGATGAGGGGGGAGCCGTGTAAGCATCTAGAGCAAGAGCATTCTAGGCAGCAGGAACAGCAAGTACAGAGACCCTGGGGTGGGAGTGCGCCTGGCATGTCTGAGCAACAGCAAAATGGTGGGTAGCTGGGATGGAGTGAGCGTTAGCAGGGGTTCCAGCGCGGAGAGCCTTGTAGGCTGTTGTAAGATCCTCATTCTCAACTGGACACTCATGTTTGGTTTCCCTCTTTCAAGCCACACTTCAATTATTTCAAAATTTCAAATCCCCTATACCAATTAGGGTACATTCAACTGCAAGTAACCGAAAAACCAAGTGGCAGGGGCTCCAGTTATAACGACTTGTATTATATACTAGACAGGTGTCTGAAAGTAGTGGGTCCCAGAGCTTGTTTAACAGTTCCCAGATGTCTTCAAGAACCCAGGATCTTCCCAGTTTTCCATTCTTCCATCCTCATCCTCAATGTGTTTCCTCATGGTGACAAGGTGGCTACTGCAGTTCCAAGCCTTACACCTCCTCCTAATAGCTTCCCACATAGAAATGAAGTAGTCAGGCAGAGAAAAATGTAAGTGTAGAGTGAGAAGACAGGATGTTCTCCTCACGTATGTCTCTTGTCGTGAAGGAAAGTAATTTCCCAGAAGACCCAGCAGACTATCCTTTA